ATCTGAATCACTTGAAAAAAACATGGGGTGCTTAACTTTTTTCCAGGTGTATATATATATATATAACTAAGAATTTTAAAAAAAATAAATAAGTAATAGCTTCTATTATTTTTATCCACACACCTTTTGTAAAAGTGACATATATTTACAATACACTCAATTTTTCTACTACAGCATTGTAAACTTTGTACAAGGAAATAGAGACAGAAAAATTTTCAATAATTGTTTTTACTGGATCATTATCATACTTCTCAACTACTACAGGCTGGCCATAGTGAATATATATATACTTTTTTTATTATTAGTTTAGAAAGCTACAGCTGTATTACTGTTTACTATGGATTCAATAATATGTCCGAGTTTGTTTTTTGTGAGTTTAAGTTCTTCCAAATTGATAACTCCCTGCAAGAAGGTGAAAGTCTTGAGAAGGTATAAATGTTTTTGGGAAAATGACTTTTGATGGCAATTTGTTTTAAATCTTATTATTATCGATAATGAATTGTTTTATATGTTAGCAATCATACATCAAAAAAATGAGTCATGTTACAATCCTATAGGTAAGTTAGGAAAATTGTCGGTTTTCGTGGTAATAACCACAGGTAGACTCCAAAGTGGGTTTACAGGTGTGTATTTTAGACTTTATGGAATAAGTATATAGTACTCCAAGAAAAAAAAATTGTCTTTAAATCAAGATAACTACTATTCTGAACACAAATGAATAGCAGTGGAGCTGACTGTCTCTATAAGCTACTCTTTATACAGAACATTGAGTACTCCAATGACTTGCTGAATTTATTTAAACATATCCAAAGTTCATGTTAAATTCATAAGAATCTTTAAAAAGAGTTTGAGAAGAAAAACTTTGAAAATATTAGGCAGAAGAACTACATTCTGAGCAATTACTTCCCATGTATCTGAATATCATACTTAAATGTTAAGAATCACATTTTAACTGGTATATATATAAAGATAGAACTAATACCTTCCATACATATGAGATTTTTGACTATTTCAATATTTTAAGCATGTACCTCCTATATTTTATTACAGATGTTCTATGTCAATATTAATTTGTGCTCAACAGTTTTGATATGATACACTATGTTTAAATAAAGCAAGCTACATTGCTAAGTTGTTATGAAACAGTGTTAGTACCAGGCCACTCCTTACGCTTAAGTGTACTTAAAGAAAATCAATGAATATAAAAAAACACACATATAAAATCAATGAAAATTTAAGTTTGCTGTAAAATGCCACCTAAAACCAAACTATATGACTGAAAATTACATCACAAAACAGAAGTCGTTACTTCCCCACTATTTTGAAAGCCATATTGAAATTCTTGGACTCTTATTAATACTTCAAAATGATCACAACCTGTTTTCTGAATGTCACATATTAAATCAGTTAATAGCTTAAAGCAAATGTACTTTTATAATGTAGTATATATTTTCTTTCACAGACAGTAATAATGAATGTGCAAATACTTAGAAAATTAACAAAACTTAAAAAAAAATTCTATGACATAAAAGCAACTTTTATCTGTTAAGTGTTATATTTTCAATTTTAACATTGTAAATTCATTCAGACTTTTATTAAGCTCAACAATATAAATGTCTATGGTGTGTACACCTGTTACAAGAAGAATCATTACAATTATATTTGTCATAAGATATTAGTATTAGGCTCGTTACCTTTTTAAACTCTACATTCTTTGTCTAGTCTAGACCCTTAGGGATATTCAAGACTTAAAAGTGTGTATAGTATTTAAGAAATATGATAAGCTGAATAATAATGTCTTATGACAAATTTAAATATAATGTGTATATATATATATATATATATATATATACTACCTTACTTACT